TGAGAGCCGTTGTTGTTGTTGTTGTTGTTGACGAATGAAGAGAGGCGGTGATATTTTTATTAATATATTTATGTGCTGAGGAAGTTGAGAAATGGGTCTCGAATTGGGTTTGAAGATCACGTGGTATTGCATATTCGATGGGCAAGGGTTAGGAGCCCACTCCGGCATTGTTGCGGATATTGCTGTGGAGGATAAAATAAGGTAGGCTGGGTATCTAAATGGTCTTGTTTTTCTATCAAAAATAATTAAAATATTGAGAAATATGAAATGGGGGATTGGCTGGTTGATATTAGTATGGAGTTGAACAATCTGTGCTCCACCGCCATCTCACTCACAACCAGACCAGCATACTAGTACTAGCATTGACTCTGCTGTTCCACCGAATGATATGTGATTCCTTCGGAAACACAACTCGATTCATCCATGGAAGTCGTTTGGACGGCAAACTACCAGTATTAACGGAGTACGCCCTGATCAACCATCTCCAGGATTATCCGCCGCTGATGTCATTTCCTCCTTGCTTGTATCGGTCTTGGCATGTACACAAAATATCACGTGATTACACGTGATTTAATGACTAAACATCCGAAATCCCCCGATGGCGACGGATAACACGGCAGCTGATTGGCCGAGGCTGGCAGCTGACCTATCACAGGCCGGGCAAAGGGCGATTAGGAATCATGTTTGGGGTTTAGTGCGTCATGTGCACGTGCCAAGCATCCGGTTTGTTTGCGGCCTCGAATTCGGCCAGAGACACGGGGAAAAAAAATCTTATCTTCAACCACGGTGTTTTCCACGTCTTCTTCTTCCTCTTTTCCTCTCTCCACCTCGAATTGGATCTCTCTCTCTCTCCTTTTGTGTATATTATCTCTTTTGTGTATTATTAGCATAGACTTTTTTTCTTCAACACCTTCACAATGAGCTTCTCTGCTGGTATGTCCTTCCCCCTGCTTCCCGCCCTCCGTCCAACCTGCTTGCCGGCCGCTCTTGCAGTCGCAGTCGATTCCGCTGCCGCTGTTGCTACGAATGGTGCTGGTGCTGGTGCTGCTGGTGATGATATATAATATAAGGTTGCTGGCATCTCTGGCGGTGTCGGTTGTTCATCTCTGCACTCACAGCCTGCTCCTATCCTCATTGCCATTGCAACTGTTTGTGTTACATTGTGAGTGTCTCCAAACACACAAAAAACTCAACAGCTTTACTGCCACTCCTTTGCACAGAGTGACAAATCCCCTACACATTGCCACAACAAGCAACACAACAAATCACTGCTGCGCTGGTGGAATGTATCCTTCCTTCAGCCAATTCTCCTCTTCCCATACACCCTATCCCTCCTTAAAACAGCTCTCCTCTCGTGCAATAACCACTGCGCTCTCCGTCATACACGACTATATCCTTCCAATTCCCCATACCATCTCCAGGCATATTCACCAGCAATTCTTTCACCCGCGCCCATCCTCCCACGGCACCAGTCGCAGAGAGAAGGCCACCAGCGGCAATGAGCATAATGACTGCGGTAGTGTGGATGTCGTACGCGATCGAGGAGCAGGAGGCAGAAAACGAGGAACGCGAACGCAGGAGACGGCAAGCAGGGCGTCAGCTTCGGGAGGATGCTAATTTCTCTCATTTTTCTTCTTGTTCAGGTGACTCTGCTAAGGGTGCTAACCTCTTCAAGGTATGTGCACTTATGTTCCTTTAAATTTATCCACATATACATCTAGTTCTATATAAGAACACTCGTTGACCATGAGAATGCTTTTTAATCCATTGCAGACGCGCTGCGCTCAATGCCACACTCTTGAGGAAGGCGGTGCCAACAAGATTGGTCCCAATTTGCACGGACTTTTCGGCCGCAAGAGTGGTCAGGTCGAGGGCTTCTCCTATACAGATGCCAACAAGTCGAAGGGCGTAGTTTGGAATGAGGAGACTCTGGTACGGGTTTTCCTCCCTTATTTTTGGCCTATATATTTATATATGTGACAATGCCACTAACTCATACCGTGACAAATAGTTCGCTTACCTCGAGAACCCTAAGAAGTACATTCCCGGCACCAAGATGGCCTTTGGCGGTCTCAAGAAAGCCAAGGACCGCAACGATCTGATCACGTACGTTCTGTTGCAATAACTTGCTTGTCCAATTTTCCAACAAACCTCCTTCCCCTCCTTTTTATTACATTTTTATGCAAAAGCTAACAGAACCTCTCAACTACTTTTTCACAATATAGCTACCTTAAAGAAGAAACCAAATAAAAACGAGAATTTATAATTTCGTCAATAATTAACGCCTCTTTGTCCTTCTCCCTCGTGTTCCACCTCTTGCTTCAACTCCCTACCTAGAGGAATACCTTTTCCCTGATGACCTCCAAAATACGCCCATTTGTACATTCTTATAGAGACTTTTTTATCCCGACCAAGTTAGCGTTTGCCTGGCAACCCATAAAAAATACAACCACCCCCCTCTATCGTCCAATCTAGTTCAGCCTCGTCCTATCCAGTCCTGTCTCTAGAAACTCGAATTATGCAAGAATGGTTCCGTTTGTGTGTGAAAATTGCAGGGCTTTCCAAGTGGGATGTTAGCTTTTTTAGTGATTTTTTTTTTGAGGAGTGAGACTAACTGGCGGAACTGGCTGAACTGAACTTTGTTTTCTTTCTCATTTTCTTGAAAGAACGTGTAATAATACCAAAACAGCTTCCTTTTATTATTAATTCTTCTCCTTCTCTTCCACCGATGCTCTATTCCTTTCTATTCATGTAGAACTTGCCCTTCTCTTTTAGACCGTTCAGCTTAAATAGTGTATAGTCTTTTTGTGCGATGTACTTATTCTGGTGTGGGTGTCAGAAGATTTAAATGGCCTCTCATTACGAATCTAATAATTTCTTATTCTTATATTGGTTTTTAACTTAGTTGCGGGCTTAATTATACCACCGTCCGCCGTATTTGCTCCGTGGTTCGATTCCCTTTATTCCCTTCAGTAGAGAGCAGTTGCTTGAACTATCTTCTACCAAAGGCAGTGAGTGATAAACTACACTCCCAGGGTGTGTTCGAACATTCGAACGCTGTCTAGCATTGTTAGATAGACGCAGCTTGGTCGGTATGTTCTGATAGTTGGCTAGTTAACTATTGAAATTCTTTTGTTGTCTATGGACTTCGCAACATATTTTCCTCTTCAGCATCTTTCTCTCTCTCTCCCTTCTCTGCCTCCCCTGACTCGACTTCGACGCTTCACCACTCGTACATTTACACCGTCGCTTTAAGTACCCACCAGTAGGTAGGTGGCTTTGTCGTATGGTGCATATGCGAGTACATTATTATGTACGTCGGTGTGTATGTCATGGTCGTCCTATGCGCGACTATCCACATTTCATCGACACGGTCTATTTCTCTCGCTCTCTCTCTCTCTCTCTCTCATCTTCTTCTTCTTCTTTTCGGGTGCGTTTGTGTATGCAGCCTTTTCTGCCAGGTCCTGTCACGCATTGCTATGCTATGCTATGCTATGCTATGTCGCAGGGCTGTTTCCTTCCTCTCCTTACCCATGTAACGATACTTCATTAGTGAAAGGGACATTGCTGGTGCTTTTCTCAGCATCTGTTATATTAAGGTATTTACTAAGTACTTTTATGCAGCCCGTGGTTCTAGTTGCAGAGAACATTTGGGTATTTCCCCTCATCTTTATCCTGTTCCTCCCTTGACTGCTGAGGCAAGCTAACTGAATCTTTGTTCGAAAAGCAAGGCGGGGAAAGGAAACAAAGGAGCGAGAGAGAGAGAGACAGAGAGATATATATCCCTGTTCTAAGCTCGGGGCTCCATGCTCCAAGCTTGCGTAACTAGCGCAGATAGTTTCTGGTATCCCTCTGCATTCATTTAAATACTACATGCGCGCTAACTATATATCGTGACAGGGCGAGATCAACAACTCCATATTTTCGCACCGGCTGCAAACATTTCTCCACGGAATTCCTCTTGTGTGGTCGCGGAAATATTGTCCATCCCTTTGTTCTCTGCGCCACCTCCCATTCTGGGAAGAAATGGATGGACTGCATATCCATAGGCATGGGTTATCATCATCGGATTGTGCGTGGTAAATTGCATTCCGGTTCTAGCAAGAGGCGTAATACGAAGAGGTGTTTGGGGACATCACCATGGCCAAGTAAATATTCTTTTCAATTCTCCATTTTAACCATGATTGGATGTGCATTTCCATCTATGAAGCTTTTCTCATTATTCGGATGCGAATCCCAGCAAATTCTTAACGTTGGTCATTTGACATACTGCCCACTGTGATACCCCACGCAATTCGAATTCGATCAAATTCGTAGCCCCGAATTTGAGTTACAATGGGAGTCTATCCTATAATAAGGTATCAAGGGACTGGATTATTACCACCGATCCAAGGGTGACATGATTCGGGGATGCGAGTAGCTATATGCCGGATTCGCGAGCGGCAGAGGCAGACCTCGGTGGCTACCATAGATTTGCCGCCAGGAAGGATCGGCAATTTTGAGACAATACAACAAGCAGGGCAATGGGAATGGACGACAGTCTAAAGACACTTGAAATCACTGGATTCGATGGGAGATACCGTGGGCAATGGGCGCCGTTTCACCGAACACGAAGAATGCGAGGTGATTTCCTGCCCGCTCATTCTGAAGGCCATTTGTTGGAGGACGTTTTCCAACAGCGAGTTGCTTAGGTACAGGACACGCTAGTTCATTGATGTGCTACCGGGATCTCCAAGGTTTGGGGGTTATGGATGACAGGTCTTTGTTGAGTGACGGGGTTGAGAGACGGTTGATCAATTCTCCTACTGGTGATGCTTCATTAACGGA